GGGGGGGGGGGGGGGGGGGGGGGAGGGGCGACGCACAGGCGCGCGTTCGGGCGATTTTGAATTTATAATTTACGATCGGGGCGGCATAAAAGTCGCGGTCGGGTGGTGGTGGTTTTTTTTTTTATTTTATTTCATTTTTTTTTTTTTTTTTTTTTTACGAGTTCCGCCCGCCCCGTACAATAGTAACGATAAAAATACGACCGACGGCCGCTACACGATAACAACGCGTTCCGTCAGATACCGAGTTTGTGTTTTCCCGCGCGACGTATTTTGAAAACCGGCCGCGGCACTTAAAATTCCGAACCGCGTGCATAGGTATCGCGCTCTTCACTCAACCCAACCCAAACCAACCCCCCCTCCCCCCTCAACCCCCGCCTCTTCACCGCGGCTAGGCGCGGCACCGATAAAATAATATTGTAACGGTGTAATAAAAACGGCGCGGTTACGCAGTGAATCCGACGTACGAACAAAAACGAAAACGCGAACCGAACCCGGGCCGGGGCGCGGGACGACGGCCGTGTAAATAACATAATATTTTAGAGAAGAAAACACAAAAAAAAAAAAAAAATCAACAATAAAAACATATTAACACACGGTAAATAGGTCACTCCCGGGTCCTCGTCGACACCGGGGCCCGCGAAAAAATACGCGTTATTATGTTTTTATAATGTACACGTATAAATAAAATATCGTCTGTCGATAGAATCTGTTTTTTTTTTTTTTTTTCGTCGTCGTTATACCGCACGGCACTCTTCGACGTTACGGTGAATTGTAAATTATTATGAATATTATTATAATGAACTACACGAGCGCGCGATCTTTGAGTATTTTTACATTCGCGATCTTTATCGTATTGTTCTGCGGAAGAAGAGACCGGGCAAAAAGTAAAAAAAAAAAAAAAACTATTGTGGTTTTTCTTTACTCCGTATGTAATAACCATAATAGTATAATAGGTAATATCGTAATAACAATATTCTATGTAACGCCCGTTGGTTCTGCGCCGAACGCGGTGAACATCTCGTATCGCATATTATTATAGGGTCGTCTAAATTAATTTCGATTTCTGCCATCGATTTATTACGCTATATCATATCTATCAAAAAAAAAAAAAATAATAATAATAATAATAATAAATACGTTATCGATTTACGCGCTAATAGATTTCAATTTCGATTTATCGGTAGAGCGGTCTTCGAAAATATCGAAACGATAATATCACATTTTTTTCATAAATATCGTATGATGCGATTGGCTAACGAAAACCCTCTTTTTTTTTTTTAGAAAAAATAAATAAATATCTAAATCTACGTGTTCCAATATTAATTTAATGTTCTTTTCGTATTACCTTTGTAATCTACCCCCTTTAAATTAATAATATGTTTACGTGTCCTATGTAATATTACTTGTATTTTATGTAAAATCGCCCGTAGTGCCGAGACAATTGGGCGGTACGCGAGATGTGTGATCCCTAGCCGGGAAACCGAACGATCGGATTCTCGAATACTCGTCCTTTTCGAATGTCCGTTTATACGACGTTTTGTTTCGCGTAGTCGCTTTTAATGGTTTAAATGGCATTTATTGCGCGGAACAATACTATTACCTATTGTACACCATACAGTTATCGTACTTGTCAAAGTACGTTCGAACCCGTAAACGTTTTAACGTTAAAGAATCGCCGGTGATCCGGGTACACGCCCGGCTGCCTCAAAATAAGTCCTTGGACGCGAGCCTAGGCACCGAGCATAGTGCAAATAGTATTATCACGGGTTTTCGTACGTTTTAGCCGTACCGGAGATTCGTAGCGAAGTTCGTTTTTGGAAAAAGTCCCGTTCCTCCCTTTATACTGAAGGGTCGTACTCGCGGTTTCTTTATTTTACAAATGTCGAACGTTTAAATCAAAGAAGTCTTAAAGATTATTTACAAAAACAAATACAAATATTATTGATTTTTGTATTAAGAGACTTGTTTTTTTGCTCGAAAAATCATAGTTTACAAGATTTACAGGGTTAACTCTCCTAATCCGCAGTGCTTATTTAGTTTATCCGAATCAGAATTCCGTTTCCATCCTTGTCCCTAATATTAGAATAGGAATTCGTTGCGTTCTTCGTTCCTTACAAAAATACTATCGAAATCTGACCGCTCTACGGGATAAAAGAGTTAACCGTGTAAACCGTATGAGGAGGGAAGTAGATCGCGCGAAATCCCCTTAACCGAAATCGAAATCAGACGGGACCTGCTCCGGATGAATGATAGGTATTTAAAATAATTATCTCGTTATTTTTGTATTCGTTTTTTTCGCGTTGGAAACGCGCCACGGCAGCAAGAACCGAACGAAAGTCCGTTGTCACTTGTAAAGGGAAATATAATTCCGTACGTTTTTATATACGTTTGCTATACGCGCGAATAGTGCAGCTTACGTCATACTCTTCTTATCAGTGACGTAATTTCAATGTTTTTTTTTTTTTAGCAAAATTATGCAGCCCATAAACCCTGTATAGAGTTTTCAACACAACAAAAGTAAAATAATCCACATACTTTCCAACACATCTATTAAACAGTGCGCAGTGAATCACTAATACAGTTTCGTTCAAGAACCTTCGCGATTATTAAAAGCCTGATAATCATGAACGATATCTATGGTAATATCCCAAATCATATTTTCGGTTTTAATTCAAAAGAAAAACATAATAAAATATGCAGACCAATAATACGGCGCAAGCCACTGACCGTTATTCAGGCCAAACAATTATTATTGAAACACCGGGCCAAATTGTCTGCTCCTTATCAGAGGAGCAGTGTAACAATTCAATCGTTTATTGGATCCGACCGATTAAACAGTCCCAATAAATAAGTACACGCACGTTATTTAAAACGCTCATATTGTATACAAATATGAGTATTGGTATTTACAAACTAAAATTTGACTGTTATCAAAAGGAGAGGTTTACTCAAACGAGGTTTTCAACAATCAAATCGATGTCTATAAGTACTTAAAACGTAGAATATTTTAAGAGTTTTAAAAGTTATTGTATACGCGTATTCGTTCGGATGACAATCGTACTCGATAACGATTTTTATCACGTCATAATAATTCCGAATCGCGGCCAAATTATAATGTCCACTCTAAATCAGCCTATTAGTGTTATCCAGGAAACAGCTTCACACGTTTTATTCGTTTTTAATCCGTTGCTTCTGAATTTTGTATACCTACATGTCTCAGATTGAACTTCGTGTGACATAATATCAACAAATTTATAGACGTTACTGTGTTAGGCCGGCCAATCTGGAACGACGTGTTTAGTATTGTTTATCGTCCGTTATTATATTTTAAATTCGTTTTGATGCGGTCAGTGGCATGTGCAGGGGGGGGGGGGTAGAAGTTAGGGGTTATACGGGGATATCCATAGGCTTGAAAATACAAAAAAAATACCAGTTATCTAATGTTGGAATGCATCTATTGTAGTCAAGTTACCAGTTACTAAGTTTGATCAGTATTGATTGGAAATTGGCTTTATTTTTATGTTCTAGCTTTCGAGTTACCGATTCCCGTAGTTGAGTTGAGTTGAGAAAACGATTTTATGATTCATTCACAATCCTTATTTGTTGCTACACTCCCTCCCATTGAACAATTCTGGGCACGCCACCGGATGCGGCATACTCGTAACTTTTTTTTTTTTTTTTATGAACAATAAATCCGGGCATTCGCACCAGCCCATCACTGCGTTGTCAAAGTCGATAACGTACGCGAAAACTCGCACTAGGAATTCAGAGTAGACGCGCGATTAAAATTCGACTGTTTGTCACCAATTACAGTTATTAGCGTTATCACGTATGAACAACACTGGCAAACGCCCGGCGCGTTAATTTCAATTCAAACGGTGTGTGTAATGTAATAACAATTGCAACGCCGGCGAAATTCACTGTCGCCGTCACGGGAAATAACGAATTATCACGCAATGACGATAACAGCAGACAATAAAATTATTGTGCGATGAATTATCGGCCCGAAGAGATTTCGACGACGACGACGACGACGACGCGCGACGACAATTCGATTAATGAAGAGCCGCCGCGACAAAGGTGTCCTCGGAGAAAATCGTTTTGAACGTTTTTGATGTCGTTCGCGCGATTCACGATTCTTAACGATATTATTGTGTTATTGCGTTCGATTCGACGTGCCGTGCGGTCTACGCCGGCGGCACGCGAAACTTTTTTGATCCGCGACCACCGCCGTGGTCGGTTTATTTCGATAACGCGGAACAGTCTACTGGGTCCTATACTCATAATAGCGTCGTCACTTTCTCGTTTTGCCGTGTTAAATTATTGTCGGTTGCGAATGTTCGAAAAAACAAACGGACATACTTCGCACGACGGATGGGCCACTGTTGCCGGGGAGAAGTCGGGAAAGCGGAGGGGAAATCTAATCCATATCTGTACCATCTGTATCTCGACCGTTGCTAACGAAAAACGATTCTGAACGGAGTTAGGTTGTACGCGATGTTTGCGATTTGAAAACAATACATTTCGTAAATTGTCCTACTTTTTCCTCGGTCTTTCCCATTTATTATGAAAACCACTGGGAAAACCGCAAAATGACCTCTTTAAAGTACCGCCCCAGTCGAATTTCCTTTCGGAAAACGTGCTAAATTTGACGAATTCTGGCGGAAAAGTTGTTCATAGAAAAAAAAAAAAAAAAAACATCATTGGAAAACCAATACGTCGCGAGGTGTAATATAAGTGCAAAATAATTTTATAATTTAATTTTTTGTTTTTTCATGTACATGAATTATATCATCGTAAGACTCTCGAAAGTAGTGCGTATCTGACGAGTTTCTCCGCGCGCATACCTAATAATAATTATTATAATGATATTATCACATTTTACGGTTCCGCGGGCACTCCGTGGTCGGACGAATATCTCCGAAAAAATTCACACACTCGGCCCGTACGTACGTGTCCGTGTTACCTATCCGAATAAAATTCGACCGCCTATGCGTAACAGCCCGTAAACGTTACTTCGTTTTTTAATTTATGCACCTCGTCCGCTCGTGTATTACGTATTATTACGAGGCGGCGGAACGACGGTTTTTGGGTTTTTTCGTTTTTTTTTTTTTTTTCCCCCCCGGTCCAGATGGTATTTAGACGATCAACCCCCGCGAGAGTCGTCCACGCTGCTCGTATACGAACGCGTAAGCCGTAGGTTTCTCGGTATTTCTGGCCGACTAACCTCGTACGACTGCGGGGTTATTTTGAAATCGTTTTTTTTTTTTATCTATTTATTAGAATCCGAGTGCAGCGAGGAATGAATTGGTTCTACTACGTATGTGTGTTTTTTGTTTTTTTATGTCAGCGAACAACTTTTCTACCAGAAATCTTGCTCTAAACGAAAAAAAAAACAAAAAAAAAAAATAAAACGTTTTTAGATCTAGTCGGTGCACAAATGGTGAGGTCGGTTTTTGATTATTCCGAACAGATTTCATAATAGTTAGGAAAACACGTATAGGAAACCCAACCGATTTTACGGCAGTAAAAGTTTAATTATTTTTTTATTTTAAAACAGGTGAAGCGAGATTTCTCGTTGTAGTATACTAGAAATCTTGATTCGTATTTCAAAAGTAGTATCTCTTTTCATAGAATATGTTGTCCAATAATATTGGCACACAGGAAAGTCGGTTTTTGATTTTTATCGTAGTTTTCAAAATAATTGTGAAAAACCAAGGAAAACATTAAAAACAGGAAAGTTTACGACAATAGCTAACGGTTTAATTATTTTAGATTTTTTTTTTTTTAATATTTAGTAATTCGTTTGGAAATAACCGTAGAAAGAGAATATTATAACGTATTGGTCTCTTTAGATGTGGTGAAATTTTTTTTTTTTTTAAGTTTTTGTTCGGTTTTGTGTGGACAGAATAACGGTTCTGGCCTAACTGAAATGTTCGGACATTTTATTCGAGGTTCGTCCTGTCTAATCTAACCCGACTTTACCGATTTCCCATCTGCGACTACAGTGAATAACCGAGACCACTATCTGTTGAAACGACCGTTTATTGAATGTTTTATTAATTTTCCGTTACGTCTGCAGTACCTACAGAGGTATACGTATAACAATAATACACGACCGAATGTCAGACGTTTTTAACCTACGCGAAAATCGCGTTTTACCGGATCATATTATGATAAGAAGGTATAACATTTTGTTATACACGTATATAATCGTAACCCTGCGGACCCGTTTTAGCGGAATATTGTCGGAGTCTCGTCGATACCGTTTGATGTTTGTATGCATAAAATATATGAAACCGCGCAGTACACAAACACATCAAACGATTAAAAACGTAACTGAACTTGATAGGTAGGTAATAATAATAATAATAATAATGATAATAATTCCTGATAGCGGATTTGGGCGGGTGAAAAGCGTATTATTTTATACGTTTCTCCGACAGGAAAAACGACACGGGGATCCGACACAAATAATTAATAATATACGTACCGCAACGCCGTCTCCGCCGAACACGATAATAACGGTAAACATCTTGAACGCGCGGCGTCCGCGATATTTGTCGAACTTTACCGTGACGGGGTGAAACCAATCGGCGTGCGAGGTTCGGTTCGCGCGTCGGTTGGACGTTACGTTACAGGTGTCGTCTTTTGTTTTGCGGGACGTTCCGCGCGTGCGGTCGTGTTCCGGTTGCGCGTGTTTAAAGCGGTTTTGTGATATTTGTATTCTTTAAAATTCGCTCGTTTAATAAAAAAAAAAAAACATACGTTTATATAAAATACGGACGTACTTGGCACGACGGGTGGGCCGCTGTTACATAGGCGAGAAGTTTTGAAGGTAGGATACAGAGAGGAATATATCGTATGTATCGTTACATACGCATAATGATTAATCGTATTGCCGATGGAAAACGATTCCGAACGGAATTGAGATTTGAAAGGCCTTGATGTTTACGATTTTCGTCAATATTGGTTATGGAAAACCCTACGTTTACACTCAATTTTTCTGTCCGGATTTCAAGTCTCCAAAACTATTTTTCACAATAAAAAACAAAATTTAAAATAAAACATTTCGTACATTTTTCCGGTTTTTTTTTTTTTTTTAAGTTTTTTTGCCCGATTATTATGAAAACCGTTTGGAAAATAAAAAAATGTCCTCTTTCTTTCGGAAAATCTGCTACAATTGAAAATCGAAGCGAGATTTCTGGTAGAAAAGCCGTTTACAGATAAAAAAAAAAATAATAATAAATAATTAACATCGTTGTAAAACTAATACATATCCCTCGGTACGCTCAGAATCTAAAGTTTATAAAATTTGTATTGTCATTATCGATATCGGTATCGCCAATATAATTGTTGTTAATAACAATATACGTGTACGTGTCTGTACAAATTATAGTAGTAGAAAATAAAAAAAAACAAATTAATCGCGATAGGTTTTTTTTTTTTTTTTTTACACATTATCTGTACGTATCGAATATCCGAGAGGAATAGAAATTAATTTTATTCACAACATATTATATACGTGTAATAACCAATATGAAAAAAAAAAAAAAAAACCATCGATTAGAATACCGTATAGTAGAAATACACGTTATTTGCCTACTCGGTTAACACATTTTCCCGAATAACCATATATGGATTTTTTTTTTTTCCCGCATAATATAGTATTTGAAAAACACACACACATATGTATATATTTATTTTGAATTATAATAATTATTATACCCGTATCGTTCTTACGTGGCGGTATTGTGGTTTAGCGCAGCAATGTTAATGCGATACGATTATGATAATTTACCTGTATCGGCTCTCGCGAAAACAAAAATATCCGCAAAAACGTAGGTATAATAATATAATATCGTAATAACGTTACCGGGTACACGTAATAGGCACATTCGTATTCATTCGACTATACTATTTTAAATAAATTATTTATTTGAAATACATTATCGCGACCTTGGAATAATAAAAAAAAAAAAAAAACGTAATATATAAATAATAATAACCAAGTAGACGTTATTCGCGCGCTCGCGCGCGCGCGCACGCGGATAATCGTATTTTACCGGCCGTTGTTATTCCGGCGAAAAGTACGCTTGTTACGCGTACGCGATAATATTCGCGTGTTACAATGTGCTTGAAAAACGGACGATTTCTGTAAAACACGAAAAATACGATTTCGCGTGCGTTTTTTTCGTCATTATTGTTATTTGTTTTTTTTTTTAAATCGCAATTTATTTTCGCGGAAACATCACTCGCGACTCTATTATTCGCCGTGTGGAAATTGCGCGTATATTTTTCGCTCTAAAATTAGAACGTAATAATCTAACGGAAATAGCGACATAGTTTTGAAATATTACCGTGCAATTTAAAATGCTGACCTAACCTTGACCGTGATTGCAAATTATATATATATATATATATAATGCAAACTTCGTTAAAAAAAAAAAATAAAAATATATATATGTAATAATAAATAATAACGGCTGATTATTGTTACGTTGGTCCAACTTATCATCGTTTAAAATGCAAACTATTCATCATTTTAATAACTAACCAACCGTATAATACGTACAATATATAGGGTTTTTTTTTTCTCGTATGTTTCCACGATAATTCTTCGTTGTTATCGTTATAATTTTTTTCTTAAGTACGCAATTTCATTTCAAATTAAATATTAATAAAAAAAAAATAAAAACGATCGAGCGCTGTTTTATAAATTATCACAACAGCTGCCGCGTGTACATTACGGGCGCACAATAGGCAGACGGTACGCGTAAAACGTTTCTTTTTTCTACTCCTTATTCGCATACCTAAATGTTCACCGCGAGTTATTTATCGACGATTCCCATAATCATGATTATTCATGATTTATTTATCGAAATTATCATAATTTGTATACACGGGTTAGGTTAGGTTAGGTTAGGTTAGGGCTGTGATACAATTTGAATAACGTAATACCGATTTACGCTCTAAAGGCTAAAAACAAAAAAAAAAAAAAAAAACAAATGTTAACATTTTTTTTTTTTGGTTATTTTTAAACTAGTTAATCGCGAATGCGTTTATAATTGGTAAACTAACGATAAAGCAAATCGGAGTACACTGGAATTACGACGCGGACCGCGAACGCGACCAATCGAAAATTATCGCGCGCGAAACGATACCGGTTTTGTCGTGCAACCGTATCGTTACGGCGGTAAACGAAATTCACGATAAATTATTATAAAAAAACGAATAATAAAACGCCGACGCGGCGAAAACGCGATCTCGCCCTCCGCGGACGGCGCCCGCGGAACGACAATCGCCCGTAAAGCGGAACACGTTCGTCCCCGCGTCCGTACACGCGAACCCGGCGAGCCCGGGTCCCGTACCCGTCCCGAGAACCGGCCGCGTTAATCGCGAACCGCACAATCGATTCGTTTCGTTTAAAAAAAAAAAAAATCGACGTTTTACAATAACAACACCGGGGTCCGGACGCGGATTTTCCGTACGGTGTTTAAAAAATACAACAACAACACACGATACACGATGGAAATTTACCTTGGAAACGCGCGGCAAGTGGTATCGTCTGCTCGTGCGCGATCCGATCGTTCGTCTGGCATACGACCGCGATTACGCAGTCGACAACGAAATAATTATATTGCATTATGCGCGCCGTGATGTGCTGTTCGCGCGTGGGCAGGTGTAATATTATATATTGGTTTTTATCGTCGGCAGGTAGCGTTATTCGTATCGTGTGCGCAATAGCGGTCGGTTATATAAAATGTTACGGACGATATTGTTACGATGATAACACAATGAAAAAATTGTTTATCGGCCTTTTTCGGCAACCTTGACCCATTTAAACCGCCGTAATAGCCGCGGACGACTCGTCCGCCCGATATCATAATTCGCAATTAATCGCGCGCACGCGCGCGCGCTAAATTTCTAATTATTCTCGTCTACACGGTATTTTCACACTGTGTATCACGCGGACGCGGGACGTTTCATTTCCTCGAGTGTGTGCACACGAGAACGCAAAACTCGAAGCTCGGCGTAATGCGCGCGACTGCGTTGTACGCGTCACGGTTTTAGATTCCGAGTGGAGCGGATAGGAGATCATGTGGTTTTACGATGATATTTTTGTTTTGCCGACGACTGTTCCACCGGCAATATTTCGCTCCGATTTTCGATAACGGGCACTTTTTCTGAATGAAAATCTTACCGGTGTAGTACACTTTAGGCAGCTTCGGGTGGGACATTTTTCGATTTTCCCAGGAGCTCTCCCGATAAACGGGAAACATAAGGGAAAACCCGGAGAACGGGAAAATAGGTACAATGTTAAACGAATATTATTAAAGAAAATGTTAAATGCATAATGTGCAATTATTTTACCGACATACGGCATAGCCGACCACTCTATCGACCGAATCGCCCTCAGAATCGTTTTTTCGTTAGTAATGGTTAATCGCTACTTGCAGACGTACATTAAATTCCCGTTTGTATACTGCTTTACCAACTTTTCGCCTATTCGACTGCACCTATTATCCTATTACCCCAGGACAGCTTTTTTTTGTTTTATTTAACACATATATAAATATGTATATATGTATATTGGGCGACCGGGAATAAAAATATCGTAAAATAAATCTGAACTATAATGTTATTATACATTATTAAGCTGTTTTATAATAGCGGGAATGAAAATATCTATGTTTTTTTTATGAACTATTCGAATAAAATATAATAGTAATCAATTTTATTTCAAAGTTCTCCAGTCGATTGCGCAGTATACGATTCTGGTAAGTTCCGCGATTTCCTCCGAGATAATAGTTCAATGTATTTTATGTCGAAAAACGTTAATAAAGTAGTAATATAAAACGCGCATATACTCTCGACGTCGTCGGTTCAAACCGTTGCAGCAGTGGTTCCCAACCGCTGACCTGCCGTTCGGTGGTCCGCGGGGGGATTGTTAAATTTTTTTTTTTTTATTTTTTTCTCCCTAAGACAAATTCCAACGAAGCGTGAAACACGCCGAGTGCAATATCACATCGCTCCGGGAAATTAGTCTTACGGTGTATTTTTCGTGTACACCATCTACAACGTAAGTATTCGCGCGAGCGTGGATTTGTGTGACTGTCCGTAATTATCGTAAAATAACCCGCGACGGGTCGGCCGCGACACCACGGTAACGGCGACATTACGCGCATCGCAGTCGCGTAGCTCCGATAGTGAGTCGTACTCGTATTTATTTATATGTGTATACGCGCATTGATCGCGGAGTTTCGAAACTGATTCGGGGAAGCTGTAGGCTCAAAAAATCGCATGTTACAGCCGCATTACGGCTTGTCGTACGTTATAGATCGCACAGGGGAAAACTGTAACACGGCGATTACGTGTGAATCGCCGAATGAATGCGATCGTTGCCGGTGAGCCGGACGGAATCTCCCGCAAACCAAGACAACGGGCCGGCGAGTGCCTGTCGAAAAGTTCTCTTACAGGGTCCCCACACGCCGACACAACGGTTGGGAAACACTGGTTTAAACGGTACACGGTATTAAAACCCGTTTGCTCGCGCTGCGACTTCCCCTTCTCGGATGATCGTATCGAAAAAAAGCCGTTTTCGGTTCGGATAAAAACGTCGACTTAAAAAAAAAAAAAAAAAAAAAACCAATATCTATTACCTATACACCGTACGGCGATAACCCCCGCATTAAACGTGACTTTTCAAGAGTGGTACTGCGGTGGATTATTTTTGTTGGCTCGATGTGTCAATCCTATGTACATAATATATATATATATGTATTTGTTCTTACGGATAAAAAAAGCGTATGCAAGCGCATTTTCTTAAACAGCCCGTGTTAAACGTTCAGCGATCATTTAGGAGCGATTCATTTTTTTTTTCGTATTATTCACTGCGGTAGAAAAACCTATAATTGAATTTAGATTACACACACACACACACACACACATATATAAATATACATATCGGTTGACAAACCGATTCGACATAAACTTTGGAACAATTCAATTTGACTGTATAATATAATACGGGCCTGTTTTTGCTGGAGATGATCCCGAGTGACGGTGAAAGTTTTCAACGGAAGGTTTACTAACCCCGCAAATTAATTAAATATGTATTATCACGTGTTTTAGACGACAGCTGAATAACGAACAAATTCGTATAGGCACATGTCGGGGGTGGGGAGCCCAGAAAAAAATATTACGAGTTTAAGTAAATATGTTGCGATTGAAAACACGTTATAATAAAAATATTAAACTTTACCAGAAATTGTTTTCAATCTTGTCAGTTTTTCCAACGTTGAAAAATAACGGACGTACTTCGTACGATGGGAGGGTCACTGTTGTAGATGAGCGAATTAAGGTAGAGAGGAAATTTAATGTATAACTGTACGCAACGATTAAACATTGTTAACGAAAAACGATCATGAGCGGAGTTCGGTTATGTGTGGTTTGAAAGACCGTAATATTTATGAAAATCGGAGCAAAATTTCTGGTGGAAAAATTGTTTAGAGAAAAAAATAAATAGACATAATTGTAAAACCGATACATTGCTCGCCCCGCTCAGAATCTAAAAGAGTCTCGATACACGCATATTCCGGAATAGATAATATTCTAACACTTGCGTCCGCGTCTTTTTAAACAGTTTTATTATTAGCGAAACTCGTTTGACAAATATTATTATAGGTCAGTGCACTCGAATATGTATTTAACGCTGCGAGAATCGGTAACCTTAATCAAAATGACTTACGAGTTAAAAATTATAATAACACGCAATAATATATTATAATAAGGTACCTCGTCGCGCCGCATTTTTAAAATTCTTTATAGCGTTATCCATTTTTTTTTTTTTTCCGGAATAATTTGACAGGTTGGCAAATCGATAATAATATGTTTGGATGTAGGCAATGATTAATTTTTTACCGATACGGAATATAGGAGTTTACTATGATGTCTATGTTTTTTTTTTTTTTTTTTTATTTAATGTTTACGTCTGAAAAACATAAAAAAACATCCAGCACTCGGCGCAACGGTCGGCGGTGAAATATTTTATGGCGGAATTTCCAGCGGTGAAACGGCTGCGATGGCGACGTGGCTGTCCTGGACCCGAAAAAAAATAATACATATATTGTTTTAAATGCCAATATTTGTCTGGTTAGCCTGCATTGAATAATTAATAATCGAGAAAAGCCGTACAGGAAAAACGGGAACTTTTACGCATCAATTCAGTTATTTTCGAAATTTTTATTTTTTGTTTTGTTGCAATTCGGTTGAAAATAACACCAAAGATCCGACATTTTTACAAAATACTTATATCAAATTTTTCCGGACGCGAGAACATTTCAAAACGTACTGGCGTGTTTTGAGCTAAGTGAAGCGAAGAAGCCTGTGGTCTTACAACGACGTTTATTTTTTTTATTTTTTTTTCTGCGGACAACTTTTCCACCAGCAGTTTCGCTCCGGTTTTCCGAAAGGAAATCGGACCGGGGAGGTACTTTAGGGAAGTCATTTTTGATTTAACCAATCATCGTTTACGTAAAAAATGCTTGAAAATGTATTGTTTAAAATCGCGGAATATCGATAAGCATATTATCTAACCGTACTTCGGCCGTACTAATCGGTTTTCATTAGCGATGATTTATCGCTCTAAATACGGCCGTAAATAGCCGTAATGTATTCCACTTTCCAAACTTCCCACCTAAAACGCCGGCACGCCCTTCAGCAGCAGATATGTCAGCTTTTTTTATTATTATTATTATTTTTTTTTTTAAGAGCTTCTACTGCGTCTAGATTATAACGCGACGGCGGTTAGCAAGATAGGTATTATACTGCTGCAGTTTAAACTGTATTCATCGCGGAGGTGACACGTCGTTACGTAGTGATGTTACAAAATGTATTTTTTTTTTTTTTTTTTTTCATCCTTGTACCATAAAATATAGCTTACAACAACACTCTCGGCACGACACCGAACCAGAAACTCGACGTGTCGAGTACTATTATTATGTTAATATAATATGATGTTTATTATAATAATTATTAAGTATACGATAAAAGTGCAGTTATACTCGTCGTATAAATATAATATTATGTACTTACGATAGTATTATTATTAAATCGCGGAGAGCTAGGGGGGAAAAAAAAAAAAACGTTTGCGTTTGTGTTTGTTTTTATTTTTTTCAACGACCACGACGTTAGGTGCGAGCGACGCGCGCGCGCGCACACGCACGCACACACACACACACACACACGCGTACGCACACGCACGCACATTATTCATACCTACAGGATAATATTATATATTTTATTTTGTTGTAAATTATTTCCACGGGTAAATAATTTGTCGTTTGATATTTACATTTTTCAAAAACAAACCTTAATTGGCGCTTCATGAATATTCCGCACATTCCGCAAATAAAAGTTACTGAATAATATAATACGTTTTCCTTCTTCCTCGGCCCGCCGCAGCCGTCGCCCTCGTATACCGCGCGGCCATTTGACAGAGTTAACACTGTATATTGGCAGCGAATACGAGTCATAACAGTATAATATGTACACACACACGCACACACACACACATATATATGCGCATTAATACGGCGACGAAGTTGCAGACACCGCAACGATAATAATACGTACTCGCGGAGGTATATACAGGGCGTCCCGCGGACGATCAGACGATCGCAATAACTTTTGTCCGGAACACAAGCGCCGGGTTTTCAGACAGACAATCTCGCGTTCTGCGGCCGGCTAATAACTCCCGCACCTGTCGATTTATGATCGGCGCACGGCCGTACCTGGTCATATGCCCGACCTACAGCCGCGTCCATCATCGGCTGGAAATATCACTGCAGACACGTTACACCGTTTCTTACGTTGCTGTAATACTCGTGACATTTAAAAATCGTGTGCAAATAAATAACTCGCGCGTTTAATTGACAACAATATTGTCCATAAAACAAAAAAAAAAACCACAATTTAAATATTAAACGAATTTCTTAAAATATTCATGGTAGAAATTATTTAATTATTAAAAAAAAACTCGTGGGAAATCAACAATTTTTTTTCTTAATGTGCCAACTAGATCCAAAATGTGACATAAAAAGTCTCTCGGCATTTTTTGATTAGAGCAAATTTGTTGATAAAAAAGTCGTTTGCTGCGGGTATGAAAAAAAAAAAAAAAACACTTTATAGTTAAACCCGAATCTAAAACTAAACGATTTCAAGTGTCTATAAGTAGCTTAAAAATCGCCAGACTGTTTGAACGTTTTCACAATTATCAAAAAATAACCCGTATAACACTTTCTACCGGAAAATACATCTGAAATTGACGAAAGGTAAAAAAGTTGCTCACTGACTGAAAAAAAAACTAGTACACGCATTATGTCCCATAAAGTATATCCAATATATTATCATCAGGGCTCGGATTTTATTGCGCTGAAAATTACCGCAGTATCAAACAAATCTTAAAATAAGCTTTAATATAGTGTATGCCATAAAAACATGAAAAATGGCAAAAAAGAAAATGTGTTATTATTTTATTTTATTTTTTAAAATATATAAATACAACCGATAGGAAGTCATAAAATGTAGACTGTTCGGTGGGTCAATACGCAGGGCTACTCAAAAATACCACAGACAATGGTTTGAAACGAAAACGTAGGGGTTTTTCTTACGGATTCGCACAACCGACAGATTGTGTATTTGCGCTATTAATGAAATTACAAAATAAACCATTACGTTGTTATATACATAATAGCCATGAATGGCATCGAAAATCGCAAAATAGCGCCAAAAATCTAAAATGCCTACTTCGGATATGTGAAAAATCGTCATAGAAAAAAACGCATTCGGAGTCATCGGTGCATAAAACAAACGTATAAAAAGCTCGCTGCGCTATTTTTATCCGTATCCCACATAATGATTAGCGATTGCCATAAAATCCGATGCCCGATTAGTGAGTCCTTGATACCGCTGATATAAATCCCGATAAATCATATATTATTGTTTTGAATTTATGTTTCTGCGTAGAAATACACGCGAATCGACTAAAACCGCGGATTAAATCGTTGCTACTGCGTTTTAACAGTATAATTGATGTAAAGAAAACAAAACGATAAATTACAATAATGTACGACGACGTTGTTTTCAAAAAACCGTTTTTTTTTTTTCAAATATTATTTCGCTTATTTCCTTACTCGCTTGTTAAGTGTATTAATATAAAACACTGTGATGCTTTTAAAATAGACGCGCGTAACAACATCGTATTGTTATTATTATTATAATATTTTCGCGTATATTATAACGGAGAAAAATGTATTGTAACAATTATAGCACTATAAAATGAAATACGAGACGAACAACGCGTTTTAATATTATGTACACGCCTCGTGTCGCGATTTTTAAACGCGGTCGAGTTTATTTGGAGTTCTCAGCGAATCCGTCCGATAAACGCCACGGAACAACGGAACGCAATTTAATTATTATAACCGTTTAAATTACATTGATCTCGCGTTCGAATTACGTTCAAAATTATTTTCGAAACGCGTTTTTATTTTCGCGTGTTCAGACCGTTTCGTTTCGAACGCCTGCGCTTTCAAGGTGACTGGCGCGAGACAATAAAAACGCTTAACATTCGATCTCTATTACGGCTGTTATTATCGTTGGTTGTTGTTTTTTTTTTTTTTTCTTCAATGACTCCGTGCAGTGGTAATCAACGTGGTTATACGTATTATAATTATTATAATTATTATTATTATTATTGTTATTATTGTATTATAATTATTATTTTATAATTATATTATAATGCGCTGAGTCTATCTTAGAAATTTTGATATGCAGTCTGGAATCCGTCTCAGTCCAGTCGGGTTGGGTAAACTCTAAAGACGTTTTATACATATGATTGGTTATAAAATGGGCTTTTTAAATATGTTTTCTTCGGATATCGCTAACCGTATTGGTCTCGTACCATTATAGGTATTCGTCGTAAGTACAATGACGCAGTGTTTGTGTACGAGTTAATAAACGGTATGATTGATTGTCCGAAGTTCTTATTTCAAATCGGTCTTAACTTAATGTTTATTTATGTCCCGCCCCCACCCCACTAATCGAAATTACGTTATAAACAGTCCGTTACACCGCTCGCCCAAGACATGTAATGAACTCGTCAATTTTGACATTAATTTTGATTTTAAATTTAAAAAATGGTTCGCAGTATTTACTTAATTGTGTCTAATGCATCTTGTCGTATAAAATTATTTTTTTTTTTAAGCGTTGATAATAAGTAGTACTGCGAGCATTGTATCTTGCATCTCGTCACGTACAATTATATTTTTTCAAGCATTGCGTAATATCGCTGTACTTTACGAGAGGTAATGCGGTAAGGGTTGTCAATAAACACTGTTATTATTATCATCGTTGCTGTGGACATCAAAATTGTTTAGAAATTCGACTACGCTTTTATGTATAACATATTAGTACAATAAACGCGTATTTATGCATAAATCTTTATTTCACTATATTAAACATCGAATTTTCGAGTGAACTTGAACAATTCCCAAAGCGCCCGATTCGCGTTAAATTTTCTTATTACATACTAACAGTTTTCGGTGAATTATTATCAAACAGACCAAACGTTATAATCGCCGCATTATTTTGTTTATACCGCTCGTCGATCGGGCGCACGGTTATACTAATAATTATGACTAAGTTTAATATTCGATTTCGTGAAGTGTGTCATTGTTGACAGTTTCCTAAATATGTACAGTTATGCATTTTACTGTATTCACTTCCGATCGAAAATATCGGATTATTTTGCTTTGGATATTACGTTTTGCAATGCGTTCTTGAGAATCGCAGCTGTTCGATATAGTTCCGGTTTATAATACACACACACACACACACACACACATACACACACACAAACACACACACACATATATATATATATATATATATATATATACACATATGATACGAATATGTTTGTTATATTGTTGCGACATTTGCATCGCGTATCGTGGTTCCGGGAAAGAATTCTATGTGTCAATCTTAGATTCGTATTGGTCACACTGGTCATCCTGCAATATGCGTGACGTCGTTGCAAATGTGAACATATTTACGTTTAAAATTCGCGTTCGTTATCGAAACAATCGAATAATTCTGTGACCAAACACCATAATATTAGTTCAAAGTTTATTTTATATTATATTGTTAGTACATGATTTATAATGATTTATTATAATACGTAGATAGTGTATTAAAATACCCACAACCGGCTTGGAAAATATCGAGGCACTGTGCAGTCTTTTTTGCATCAATAAGCTGTTTTTTTTACATTTTTACCTTCCAATATTAAACGCGAGTATAAATCGTTACGATAAAATTATTCATAGTTCGTTAATTTTAATTTGTATTTTCTTAAAACAATTTTGCGAAATTACTATCTGTTACTAGCTATTTATAGTACCGGCCTCGCCTGCAATAGTATTATAGGTATTTGAAATCGATATTTTTTTTTATTTTTATGTCGGTCGCGTTAACGTACACCGTTGACTCAAGTCACGGACCACTTTTGTAAATTGTAAACGACAGTAGGGGCCACTAAATGTTAATTCAGTAGGGACTTACACGTTACACTTTTTTTCCCTTCTTAATATACAACCGCGACTGTCTCTCCAATATAAACGCATTAAGTTACCTACCATTAATCGTTTTAAAAATTATATTTCTATACTATAGAATATTATAACGATATAATGATATATGATATTTGAAAACTAAAAGTGATTATTAATTATGCTTATTTTTTTCGTTTGTTTGTTTTTTTCTTTTTTTTTTAAATAACAGAATTGTCTATTTTATTTCGATACAATTAGATTTTTTTATTTTTTTATTTTTGACACTGACGTATTCGAACCCGTCGTTTTGTATTATTATATCGAACGTCTGGCCATGACATCTGTCAATGTAGAATATTATTGCAGTTTTTATCAAATATAAAGTTTAAAATATCTTTTACCTAGTTAATCCATTGTATATCCGTATAGACGGTGCTCGGAATTGGATTGAATAATATAATGTATATTGTATATCTTTTTATGATTAAAGTTTTTCTTAGTATTATAAAATGTCACGGTCTTATTAAGGATCCCAATTTGATTTTTTTGTTTATCATATTTATATAATTAGGTTTTATTTCACGCACTTGTATAAGGGTCATCGCACGCTTTATCCTTTATCGCATATCCTGCAGACAGCGTCGGGTATGATCGGATAATTGTAGGTAACTACAATTAAAACGAGCAGGTAATTGGAGCGGCGAAATTTTAGTGGGGTCGAATTTGCCAACTATAAAAAAATTTAATTTACTTTTTTTTTTTTTTTTTACTACAAACACTATTTTAGAAAAAGGCTTTTTCGTAAAACACCATCAGTTTACAGTTGAGTTGTCGGAAAAAAAATCTCTGAAAAAACACAGGAAACATTGTACCGGTGTCGGCCTAACACACCGAGGAGCCACTGAGACATATTGTTTTTAGGGGCCCAACAAACGGAAAATTCAAAAGCCATGAAAATCAATGCGATATTGGATAAAAAGTCGGTTTGATTGGTCGATAATATTTTTAAAAAATAATAGATTTTGCGGATACATATTTACGTAAGTTAATGCTCACGCAATAATTAACAATAATAAATTATTATATTTTATTATTTTACTGTAGTTCGCAATAGTTAAATTAATTTCAAACAATACTATGCATATTTAATCTCTGCACAAAACATATTTAGTAGTTAAATTACGATACTTTATAAATCTTTGGCTTTGAGGAGCCCTCAGACACAAATACGACTGGAGGCCCGAACAGAGTTCACGCCTAGCAGTCATGTGTCGGCCTGACACTGCTAGTCATTCAGCTAGGTATCTAATCTAAATATCACTAGGTCAGCTACAAATTTGAATCATTATTACAATACTTTCCATGATTAAATTCGATTTTACATAATATTTTGAATTGTCCAGAAATCAATACAAATTGAATTTAAAATTGGTTTACTTTGTGTATAATTAATTGTTTTTCACTTAAAAGCTTTACCTTTTTAAGAAAAAGTCATAATTAAATTATAATTTTAATTATGTATGTTTTTCCCCTCCACCCTTGTATTGATTATTATTTATAGACACCAAACATATTTTATACCTGCCTAATTTTTATATGTATATATAATATATATATATATTTATATATTTTATTGATAAAATATTTCTTTGATTATTTTTTTATGATTAAAAAAATAAATATGTATAATATATGATAATGAAGGGATGGTGAATTATTTTTTCGCTTGTAGGTGGTAAATCGCCATTGGCAACCGTTTTTATTTATTTTTTTGTGATTATTAATTTTTTATTATTTTAAACTATTTAAACAATCATTGTTGTCATATTGTCATGATCATTTTACCATTTTTGACATAAATATTGTTGACGAAACAACATTATCAACTGAACTCCCCTCTCAGAATCACTTTATCGTTAGCAATAGTACATCGTTGCTTACAGATACCTTAACAGGTATCTTACAGATACATTAAATTCTCGGTTGTATCCTACCTTTCCCACTTCCCCCCTACAAGAGTAGCCGTGTACCGATATATAAAGTATGTCCGTCCTTTTTTTGTTTTTAATAATATAATTCAAATTTTTAAGGTTAGGTCTAAACACTGCATTACTCAAAGCAAATCGTTACAAATAAAGCGCACTAAATTAAGCGAAATTCGATTTGAACAAGGTGTCTGTATATACGAAGTACTTATCTATAATTATTTCAATATGCAAACCAATGCAGTCGGTTCCTTTATACGTGGCCTAGATACGAAGTGCATAATACGCCAAGTGCTTAATAATCGAATAATTGCATTATATTTAAATATATGGACATCAATCAGTACCGAGCTAACTATAATTTGTACCCTAGAGCAATCATCATGTTTAGTGTCTAAAATTTGGCACACCATCAATTTTCGGAGACTCCAACGCCCTAGGGAAGTTATCCCGGACAACTTGTCCCTATTCCCCTCTTAGTATTGACCTGGGTATCATCCTCTTTGAAAAACAAACGATTTTGTTCTTTGATTTTTTTTAAAAATAATAATCACATTGATATCCGAGGTATAATACCTAAATATAAGCGGATTCGGACGATTCGGTGTGTTATTATTTTCGTCTACACCATATATAGCAGGGATGGTCCAATTAAGCGATCGCTTCTAGTTCCGAAAAGGGTCGGTGGGCGAGTGAGTATACTCGATAATTCACTTTTACACTAATTTAATAAGAACGCAACGATGATGACTATGAAGACTCAAAATCGACTCTACGGGTCTATTAGTGAAATGTTTAAGAAATTAAGTAACCTAAAATTTACGTTTTACTTTTCCTAATACATTTTTAACAACTAAAGCATTATGCATCTTACTTACTGGATCGTTATCTACTGGCCGTAAAATTTCAAAAATAAAACTTATAAAAACCAGATTGAAGTCTACAACAAGCGACAATAGATTGAAACGTGTGATGTAGTTATGTTATTATTCTGTGAAGGTCATAACAAGATTGATTTGGGTCGAGCTATAAATCGAATGATTGGAATGCGATTACAAAGTTACACTAAACAACTTATGCCGTTTTAAAATAAATGTATTTTCAAACATTATAAATGCTATTGTCTCTTATTGACTTTAATTTTAATTTTTTTTTTTATTTCTCTTTTAAATTCTTGTCGTTCTAATATCCTAAAGTTTTGAGACGTTCCCGTGGACATTAGTACATAAAATATCGCGGTAAAAATTAATGTTATGAAAGCTGGTAGGTACTGATTTCTTTAAATTTGTCTTCATGATAATGTTGATAGTGCTTGATTTTTGAAATTCAGTCAACTCTTACAAACACCTATGGAAAATTAGACAATATCGGGTTGGTGGGTGGATGCGTATTAGTTCAGTTGGGTACAGATTCCTTGAGGCACCGTTGTGATATAGATTAATAGGTCACGGAAATGTATTATTACTTTACCTGCAGTGCAAGAAGGTCCAATGATAAAAAAAAAAAAAATGAAAATTGTTTAAATAATAAATATTTTTAAAATTGGAAAATGAAACAAATTAGTTCGTTTTTTTCTTTCGCTTTCATCTCAACTTCTTAGGATACTCTTCCTAAATATTCACTTGAGCTGATCCTTCATCACGTCGTCCTCACAAATACCCTCCGTCCTCATAGCATTCTCAATCACAACCAATCACACCTCTTTTTCTAAAATTCTAAAAGTCCAATCAAGTCTATAATAATATATCTGAAATATATTTTTTTTCGGCTTCTCGAACAAATAAGCCACAAATATTCATCATTGTAGCTGGGGCCGGCTTTTTTTAAAAAAAAAAAAAAAAATCATTGTATATCAGTGGTCCTCAAGTTGTGGTGCATGACTCACTAGTGGTAAGCAACATAGTGGCAAGAACGCAGAAAGCCGCATGGCAATAGTCAGACGTGGCGTTTACGGGGCCATAGGGACATTAAATTACCTTACCTTTAAATAATCATTTATTTCAGAAATTTGTATAGAAGTTTAGAGTGTTTGTAAATTATAATCACGGCCTCTACAGATAGTTATGTTATCACATTAAGCGGTTAGGGGTCACATTCGTCTTTTTTACGGCTTTTCGGTTTTTCCTAAAAACCGAATTTTCCAGTGTTTTTCCGCAAATAATTACGCGTACTATCGGACAATAATAATCGACGTATTTGAACGCGGCGTAAGGTGAAACTCCGGGAGGGCGTTCATACCGCATGAAAAAAAAAAAAAATAAACAAAGAACAAAAATGCACGATGCGTTTACCGCGAAAATAAAAACCCCATTATCTATCGTACGACGAAAATTCAATACCGCGGTGGTATTTAGCGCCGTCTTCGTCGTGCAGCATCTATACTCTGCGGTCGAATCTAAAAAACGACGGAGTCTAAAAAAACGGCAACAATCACATTACGCGCGCGTTCAGTTATTGTTGTTATTATTACGGGGTTTTGTGATGTAGCGAACGGGCGATCGTCGTCGGCCGAACGAGAAAGTTCACAGTGATGGGGGAAAAAGAAAAAGAAAAAAAACAACAAAAAAACGCAATGTTACGATATCGATATGGGCGCGGGATGCTGCGCGCAACGACAAAACTGTACGAAAATTGTCTGGGTTTTTTTTTTTTTTTTTTACGATTGTTGTATTATAGTAATAACAAATAATAATATTCGATATTGTTCATAATCGGCACCGTGCGAGGAGTTATAGTAACAGTATTGTGTACAGGTACATTATGATGACGTACACAATATTATATAGGCGTAGGAATTCCGCAGCTTAGACTTTGTTGGGCAACGTTCGACTATGGGTCCGCATTCAATGTCAACTCCGTCGTAAACGGTATAATTAAACGTTTCTTTTACGATATACATATATGTATATACATGTATATATGTGTGTGTGTGTTGTGTATAAGTGTGTAGATTTTTTTTTTTTTTTATTATTAACAACGACGTTTTATCCTCCGCTCCGCACTCGTTGCTACACTTTACGACCCGACGGCGGCGGCCGGTCGGCCCGGTCGGCCCGGTCGGCCGTCGTAAAAAACGGTTAAAAGAATATCGCCGTGCGCCCTTCCTGCGGCGGCGGAACCCCCTCTCGATCCCGGCGGGGGGGAAAAAAAAAATCGCGCGCTCGGCCGCTACATTTTGTTCGCCGGGCGTATAGTTTTCTAAAAAAAAAAATAAATGCCCAATGTTGTTGTTATTATTGTTTCGGTAAACGTCGTTATAATACAGCGTTTAAAAAATAATAATAATAACAACAGCCACACCTGTTTAATATTATGTACCGACGACGGTATAGTATAATTAGGTTTGTATATTATTATTATTAATATATATTATAATATTATTTATACGCGTATCGGATTTCCGCCCGGCCGGAGTATCGGATTTCGGGTCGCGCGTTTTTAGGCACAATACGTTGCCCGCGTATTTTTTAATTTAATATGTCCTCGTTAATACCAGTCCATTTGAAAAATCCCGCGACAAAAAACGCGGGATTCCGTGCGAAAATGTACGCGTGCGAAAAAACCGACTACGCAAAATTTAACGACAACTGTTTATCCGTTTCGACGTGTTATCCCGTAATAAAATCCATCGCCTTAAACGTTATCATTAGCCACGGTCCCATCATCTCGATGTTTATACGGTTCTCAAACGAACACCAGACGAGTCACAAGTACTTAAATTACAGTATTATAATGACGGTTATAGTTTACGGTTTCACCCGAAACGAAATATTGTATCCGATAAGTGATAACGGTTCACGAAATGTTTATTTGTTGATAAACATATTGTAATGTAGTGCAGAGTCATTGCATATGAATATCGTCGACTCGATTACAAACACTCAGAACGCTCAGAAAAAAAAAAAAAAACCAAAACGAAATACCCGTGAGCAACAGAGCTGCTCCGTCACTGTACAGTCGAATTTTCCTCCAGTCGATTTGCCGGATTAAGCATTTTGGAATTGTTTTAAATACATTTTTTTCAGATTTTTCGGTGACTACCCTTCCCCTTGCCTTTACCGCGGTCTACTACCTTGATCCTCTTTCTGCACGTATAACAAGTATCCTGTTACCGTCTGGACAATATAGTTTTATCAAAGTAGATAATGTACTTATTGAGATTTTTGTTACAGTACAGACGGTAGGAACGGGGTTGGAAGTTCAGACTTGCTAAAGACACATCATTGAGAACTGTTCTTTTTATATTTAGATTTATAACCCAGTTGTTCACTTTGATCAGTCCGCGGGGATATTTCAATCATTCGGTATTTCTTGTAAAATCGTGAAATTCAAGCATAATAATGACGGAGAGAGAGAGGTTGAAAGTTGAAACATTCAATAGAAACGCGTTCTCGCTACTGTAGAAGTCTCGATTGATAAATCGAAAATACGTGAAAACTCGAATGAAAAATGAAAACGTATCTTCCTATTAATATCTAGGTAAAAATGGCCGGAGGAATAGATGTCCGAAGAAAAAATGTTTGGTGGAAAAAATGTTCGAAAAATTAAAAATTAAATAAAAATTTCTATCTAAGTTTTATCAAATTTATTGTTATATATTCAATTAAATTCTATTTTTGACGAAACCACTATTCAAACGAAGACCGGACAAGTCACGAGTGCTAATGCAACGGTTATATAGTTTACGGTTAACATTACACTCGAAATATACACATATATACGATTTATACTTGTATAATGAAATGTATTATATAAGTGATATGTCACTTATATTTATACAAATATTACTTACAAATAAAAACTACGACATTATTATGCTTAATTTTTTTATTTGTTTACAACTTCAAGCGCAACTCGTGATGTTGGATGTAAAATGTGTTAAATTGTCGGGCAATTTCGCCGCTCAATCAATTTTATCCATAAAAGTATCCACGGTAAAAAATTCAGATTTTCATACGATTATTGCTAATGGAATTACAAAGAAAAAAAAATCGAAAATAACAAAAAACCATTATTGTGTATGTTTTTCCGTTTTTCTTATTATAAAAAAAAAAAAAAAAAACTACAAAGAACATCAAACTCCATAAAATTACCTCGCATATGCATTGATGTACGAAGCAAGATTTCTGGTAGAATATTTTTGTTTATAGGCACAACAAAAAAATACAAATTCCTCGCTTTGTTCAGCGTGTAATACACAATAAAGTCTCACCGTCGTATTATTATTTTAACAATATTATACTTATATTAAACTGAAATGCGAAAATTCAGACGAAAAATAATCAACTCGTTATACTGAGTCTAAAAAAAAACATTTTAATTATCTCTTTGTTTCATTTTCGTTTTCATAAAAAATTTATTTTTTTCCCTGTAATTTAAAAAAAAATACCAGTTGATCCCTTGACGATATTTTTTTCACTATCTTTTTTGTAGGAAATTAAACACAATAAGCAATATATTGTACAATATTATAGAAATTGTATCGAATTTTTGACAGCGAGTTGCTTAAATATATTTTAATAACCGTACTAACACCGATTTGTCCAAACAATAATAATAAATATTTTTTAAAATTATTTCTCGAAAAATGTTCTATTTTCGTTAATATTGTTTAAATCAATTTGCATATATATATATACAAAAAAAAAAACTTACAAACTATCATTAAGGCCGTGCTCGTTCATACGGTAAATTCTATTGTTTTAGATTTTAACTCGAAGAACAATAATTCTAATCGGTCTGTAAGTTTTTCATCGATCATGTGAGGTACGCAAAGATAACAAAATCAAATTCTACCTGAAAATTTCCTTTTTATAATAATGAAAAAAAAATGGCGTGTGGCAACAAAACGAAATTTCGAAACTTCAGTCGATCCCTCTAGCTGCTATGTGTAGGTAACATTATTTATGAGCCAAGTGATGCATGATTGGGTGACCCCCCCCCCTCTCGTCCGTTATTATAGTAAATTATTATTGTGCATTTTACGACTAGTTCCGGGTCACATGAAAACACTTCTGTAAACTGTATTGATTATTGATAATCAGTGGGTTTTGTAAAATTACTCGAACAAATTGCGTTTCATGGCGTGTTTCGTTATTTTAATTGGAATTATCCTATATCCTGGTAAATTAGTTAATAATCATTTTCTGTTATAATAATTTATTTTAAACTCGTTTTAAACTTTAAAATTCAAATAATAATTTTCAAAGGGGTTTGATCAATCTTTGAACCGCCTTGGCTTTGACGATTAATCAATAAGCATTTGAAAAATCATCACATTCATCAGACAAGACTGATGAAGTAGAAAATGACGAAATTAACATTGTTTGAAAGCTATACTGATTTTATGTACTCCTCGCCGCACAGAATAATGCTTCAGTTACAAAGCAATTGAATTAAATTTTAATGTGACAGCAAAATAATAATAATTACATGACGAGGAAACACGGAACATTTTGCGGTTGCTTTGCAGAATTTCACAGACTGAAATCTGTTCAATAACTTTTCGATTCGATAGTTCTATCACTCCGCAATAATATTTATTTATTTTTACAGAATCGATGGCCAGTTATTGGTTTCGTAAAGGTTTCATTCGACCAGCGACGTATCTGAATTAAAGCTATCGAGGGGGGGGGGGGTGTATAAAGAGCCTTGATGATCTATCAAGGATGGCGAAAAGGGCTTCGCTATAGACCACAAGCCCCTACCATAAAAAAAAGAAAATCCTAGATGTTCCTAGAGTTTAAATAAAATATATTGTTTTTTTTTTTTTTTTACAAATCAACATCAAATCATATCGAAACTCAATTTATAATATTCCCTGAAAATGTTGAGGTCTTACATTTTGTGTTTTATACTAGTATAAAATAATTACTTAATTAGTTTCCTTGTAATAATACCGACTATAAAACTGCAATACGTTTAGCACAATACGAGCTACGAAATACGAATGTCGATTGCTGTTTACTTATAACGATAACGACAATGATAGTAGTTACGTGTAGTAGTCGTTACTATAATTATTTCTCTCAAAGTAAAATGTTGTCATTAAAGGCTGATTTACACGGTGCCAGTGACTGATATACTAGCTGGCAAGCTAACTGGAAGGCCATTAGTGTGTGACAACTGGAATGCCGACTTACCGGCTCTTATCGTTTACACAGCTCCAGCTAATGGTACGTGACCAGAATAACTTCCTATACCTACCTATAACATTACTTTGTTGTAAAATATATCGGGTTCGGGAATTGTATTACTGTCGAAAATCGGACAGGCTACAGACAAAACTGGGTGGGCTAAGTCTACCCCCGAAGCCCCGGCCTAGCTATTTGTGCCTGTGCAATGGTATCCGTAATAAATTATTATTTTTGTTATCTAGAACCGTGCTTAGTGGGTCTAATATCTGCGGATCTATATGACAAAAAAAAAAAAAAAAGCGTTGGTAAAACAGGACGTATAGAGGCGTACAGCCGACGGCGGTTCAAGGTCCTGATTAGTGATAACCAATGCCTGAATAACATGTCGAAGTGGTTGTTTGATTGAGAGATAAAAATAAATAAATGAATATTTGTATATGTACAGCAAATACCTATAAAAACAAATCAATTGATGGGAAGGTGGGGTGATCGCCTTCGTCCAATACTCCACTGCGTGCGACCCGGCATATTATGTAATGCTGCAAGAAAACTAGGTCGTTCAGTGCGAATTACTGAATATCGTTATTGATCGATAAAAATCTATCGAAACGTGTGTCCGTTCAGATTAGTTGTTTTCGTCACCGACGGTTTTCTTTCGTCGCGTACAGATATAAATCAAGTATCACCCTATATTATAACGCTCTCGTGTACATTATACTATGTGCATTACTATTTGGTTTTTTAGTACTGCATTTCATACGCGCAATAATAATAGAATGCGCGCACTGTGTTATTGGACAGACACACGCTTATTACCTATTATTATAAAGCGTCAATCTTCCGAAAAACAAACCCATAGTAAAAGTGTTCCGCTTATACGAATGTAGCCTACAACTACAATCTATAACTGTGCGGTATCACGCACTTGCGCGTAATAACAGTTCGGTGTTAACACGCCGGGATGTTTCTTTCTTTTTTTTTTTTTTTTAAAAGTGACATATTTTTCTGTTTTAATAATATTATAATGTGTCATACAATAATGACGTGTCGACGGTTAATTGGTTATTACGAGAAACACGATCAGCCGGATCGATATTATATTATGTTCAAACGCCCACACTCAAAATACGATATCGCACTGCCCAAACTTAGGGACCCCAGATTTATTTATTATAAATATACGGGGCATTTCAAATCTCACCCGAAATTTATATATATATATATTGCAACAAACCATGCGGTTGGAAGGGGGGGGGTGATGGTAAAAATCTGGCCCTCAAAACTAGTCCGTAACTCAAAAGTTATCCGATCAAAATCAAAAATGTTTACTTTTTAGGTCATTTTTTTGTACGAAAAATAATGTTGAAATCAAACTGACATATTAATATGTCAACATAATTCAAAAATGTAATTTGTTTACAGTGATACTACCTGATCTCACGATATCACACGGCTACTGCTAGGTCCCAGGCGTGTTAACTGCTAGTCGATATAGTAAAAAAATAACGAAAAAAAAAAAACTCAAGTTCTGATCTTCTTAGTAATTATATAGCGATCAACTTCAATTTATTTAATCAAAGGGCCCTTGAATAATTACCCATGTATCTAATTTTTGTTTTAATTTTAACGTTTTATTAGGTAATTTATAATTTGTATTTTATTAAAACGACTGGAAATAAAGAACTAAACTTGATGCGGTGATGGGTGGTATCGATTGGCACGCACACCGCTCGGGGCTGCAGTATTATCCATTCTAAAAGATACCTAATTTAAGATTATGTTAAATTCTACGTTAAAGCATTTTAAATTAAAAAAATGTTCCTATATTATGTAGCCAAATATCAAGCAAACCAATTATATTTTGAATTGTCTGAATTTAAAAATTATTATGTTGTTTGATCCACGAAAACACGTAAACATAGTCGGCACATTAGAGAGGCCGTTTGTTACGATATTCCAAGAGGTTTTCAAAAAATAATCGCGAAAAACTGGCAATTTTTTGTTGTAAAACTGTTGCTGAATTCCGGGTTACCGTGGCAACATGGGAAATCGGCGCATACGGACATAAACGAAATCGTTTATGCAACGTCCTCTCGTCGACCCTTCCGACGTCACCCGGTGGCGCGCGCCCATCAAAACCGTCAAGTTGTTTTTTTTTTTTTTTTTCCTCAAATCGTTTTCCGGACATTTTCGAATATCCGACTGGTCGGTCCCGTTTTTCTCACGAACACCCGCAAAAATATATCGCCATTATCGTCGTTATTATGTTTACGCAGTCGAAATGTACTGCAGCGCGTTGCATAACGTCGCCGCGTTTATAGTCGTCTAAAATGTCCGTACGTATTATTTTCAATCAGGTCGTAAATTTCGCCGCGCTCGCTTATATAATATCGTGCGCGGTACCACATAATACGTAATGCGTAATGCGTACACGGTAAATATAAACGGGACACAAAAGAAATCGGTAGTTTTACGACGTTTTCGGGACGGTGTCTATAAAAGGAGAGAAGAAAAAAAAAAAAAAGTTTACTCCGCACTTCGGGCACCTACCGTATACATAAACGTATATGTATTATAATACAATATACCTATAATCTATATAGGTGTGTATAACACCGCCGGATAATAATTCACATCCGAAGAGCCATTAAAACTACCAAACGGAAAACTAATCAGGACGTACCTACGTGTTATTATTATTATTATTCTGGTTGTCGTTATTATGTACTGTTGTGCGTGTACGTTTAGGCACCTTTTCGGGCGGTGCGGACGGGCGGTTGGTGGGATGGGGGGGGAGGGGGAGAGTCTACTATAAAAGTGCAAATTTTCGCGTCTCGGGGTCGAACAAATATATAAAATATCGAATAACTAACAACAGCTGTTTGTAGTCGGCTGAACCGAAAAAAAAAAAAAAAAGAAGAAGAAGACAATAATAATAGTAACGACCGTGTCCAGACGATAAATCACATTGTCCGTCCGCGGCGGCTTTGCGGAACACGGTTTTTAGTACCTGCCAATCTTTTTTTTCCCTTCTGTTTCTTCGCGGTTTGCATTCGCCACTGGCCGTGGCGCGGTTACACCCGAGCGTAATTGTTCGTGTGTATACCAATATATCAACGTGCATCCTGTGATTCCCTACGCGCTAGCGACTTGCCGATACGTGTTCAGTGGCGCGCCCGGGAATTTTTAACGGGAGGGGATATAGCAAACAAGAACCGCGAATAAACCGTACAATCGTCTTCTCCATACGCGACTGTGGAATCGGTAATTTCAAAGCCCTAAGTAATTTTGCCGGAATACGGGTGTATGCCATTTCGATAAGGATTACTCATATTTTTTTTTTGTATTTTTAAGAGGTGGGGGGGACATTAACCCGTAACCTCCTTCTCCGCGCACGTCTTTGTACGCATCCGTACGTTTTTACGTATACCTATACATATATTATGTTATTTGACGGAGAAATCGCATCGTTTCCCCCGACGAACGTTTAATATATTTTAGTTCTTGTAACAATATGTTATGACGGTATAACATTCAGGTGACAGACGTTTTTCGGGTACTTTGCACTCCGAAAATGAAAAACGCGCCCCGCCACTAACCCGAATTTCGTTAGCAGTATATTCGCAGTAAAAAACATATCACGGTGATACCGATGCGTTGCGTCGCCATACTCAGAATCCAAAAACATATTTAGAATTAATCGATGATATCGGCAAAAAAATTCATAAACTGTTGTGTACATAAGTGTAACACGTTCATTAAAACGGATCATATCATATTTACAGAGCTCGAATTCGAGGGGGGTATATTAAATTACGTTTAACTTTTTTTTTCACCAATAACGACAACTTTTGATAAACCGTGCGTTAAGTTTCAACGAAACAGTTTCAATTGAATACAACCAAATTAAAACCTATAAAAACTCGAAAATATTAAGGGTCTAAAAATAGCTGGAAATTCCAAAATGTTTTGAAAATTGTACCATGTCCCTAATGAAATTTCTATTCTCTTTTGTATTAAATTACAATAAAAAAAAAAACAAAATCGAATATAACAGATGTTTTTCTCAGTTTTTCTTCTTTATTGGGAAGTTTAACTAAAAAAATAAAAAAATTGGCCTCATTGCATCAACTATGAGTATTTTTTACCGAAAATCACCACCCTTTATGTTGATAATGTGAGTAACATTTTTGGTAAAAAAATGTGTTTATAAAAAAAAAAAAAAATAATAATAAATACGTTTATATTATTAAAAGTTACATATAGTAATAGGTATCTAAATTAAATGTATATGCAATCAAAAATTTAGCCTGCGTAGTGTTATTGAGTAGAGGTTTTTATTCGTAAATTATCAATCATTGAACAGAGTTTGAAAATTGGTATAAAGACGTTTGCGGGTGGCGAAGCTCCCCTCGGCCGGTTACGTTGAGTCGCACGGGACGCTAAATTTGTTTGAAGACAAATAGTGGCACTCTTCTTTTATTTTTCCGATTCGAGCACTGAACGAATGCACTTATTATCGGTAAAACAATTTAGGTATGCGTACATAAAAAATATACAGTCACGAAAATGTAAAATCGCCGTATAATTATACGAAATTTGAAGGAATACGAGTGAAATCGAATTAATATAATGTTTACGCCGGTTTTCGCGTGATTCGTGATAAACGACGATTATCAAAATGATAATTTGTTCGTTATAATTTTATTTTTATCGCCCGAATGTTACCATACCACTCCACATCGAAACGGCGTACGAAATTTACCGCACTTAAAATTTTTACCGCCCGGGGTCCAAGCCACCCCTCGTCCCTCCATAAATATACGTTTCTGCGTTCGGTATACCAGACAGCGACCGACAATGGTTATGCTGAAATATTATACGCTTTTATACATTCGGTTTTGGCGACCCTCTTACACAAAAATATAATATAATATATAATATTATAATGGAAGTAATAAAAATTCGCGAAAACGTGTTCATCGGCTATTAAATGAAATAACACACACACACACTCTTAAAAATACAACGATGCTTTTTTTTTTTTTTTTTTA